TAATCATTTTTTTTTCAGATTTGCATTTTAAACATGAATAATCAATTTTTCTGCAAACTCAAATTTTTCCAAATCACTCAAACTAGAATGAGATTACTCAAGAACAAAATATCTCTACAAACTCGATTTGTTTAGATCTCAAAAATAAGGATACATTATTCTACATTTGCAAAATCAAAAACCCTAGAAGCATTCGGTTTTTCTAGACATATGCATGATTATCGTTTTGTGAAACTGAGTTTTCTAGATCTGCAAATAAAAAATACAAAGACCTTCAGATATTGAGAATGGAAACCAAATCAGTGGAGAAGAGGATGGATGTTTTGGGTATCCTGATCTGGAACGTCACCATGATCGTCTCTGTCGTCATCACCGTCAGCCATCATCGTCAACCACCACATCATGAATGCTTCTGAAATCTGTCTTCACCGATCATAACTTCGATCTAAAAGTCCTCGTCACCGACAAAAACCCTATTTTTGCCTTCCTTCATATTTGAACGAAATCCAAACCAGTGTCTTCGTCGGTTTTCCGATCTACTTCGTCATCGCCGCCACTACATACCAGATCCTTCGTCTTTGAATGAACCCTCTTACATCGTCGTTTGGGAGGGAGGACGACAGATCGGTAACTTGACGAAGAGGATGGTTAAGGGCGATGAACTGAGAGAGAGAGAGAGACGTTCCTAAAACCCTTGCGCCGTTAGAACCTGGACCCCTTCGTCGTCGCCGCCTCTACAAACCCTAGATATCTCGCCATATCTGTTCGCCGCCATGCTCGTCGGATGGTCAGTGTCTTTAGAAAGTGGAAAATTTCTGAACATCGGTGCCGTTGGAAAACCAATAGATCTCGTCGGTCTCGAGGATGACAGATTTGTGGGTCGTCGGAGATGGCAGATTTGAGGGAAATGAGGATTTTGAAGAAGAAATGAAGAACATGAGAAAGAAAAAGGGTTAGGTGTATTTTATTTTGTTTTTTTAATTATTTTTTGAATTATTGTAATAAAAGAAAATTATAAAATAAAATAAAAAGGGCAAATCTGTCATTAAAAAAATTTTCAAAAATTTTGGACCAAACTTGCAATAAAATGAAAACTTTGGACCTCTAGTGCTAGTCCAAACTTTTTTGGACCAAAGTGACAATTTTCGACATACCATAAGGACCATTTGTGTAGTTTTGTCTTGTTTTTTTTGTTTTTTATTTTTTTGTTAGGAATTCTATTAATCTCATTCATTCGAAATAAATGTTTTTACAAGTTGATGGTATTTGATAACGTAATATTACCATGACTACAAGTGTAATCCCTAAAATCACTCCTTATTTTAGGGATACTTGGAATCTCTCTCTCATATAGGGATGAGATTTAGAACCGGAAAATCAGACTGCAACCGGAACCGTTAGAACCGGAATATATAGAACCGGTTCCGGTTCCGGCTTTAAAAAATGGCTTTATCCGGGTTCCGGGTAATCCGGGTTTGGGTCCATCGGGTCCGGGTAAACCGGGTCTAAAAACCGGAACCGGTGTTTGGAACCGGAACCACTTTTAGGACCGGAACCGGTTTTTGTGAAACGTTTAAAAGATGTGTATCTCATTCGTTTCAACTCCGATTGACATGCGGTTTTTTCCAAAATGTAGTTTAGAGTTTGTACATGATTTTAGACTATAAATTTGCTATTTTTGGTTTTATATTCATTGACTTACAGTCCCCGAAAGTCGAGATATCAAATCTGGAAATTTTTAGTTTTTCAGTTTTTTTGTATTCGGTGAAAGTTTTAAAACATGCATATCTAATTCGTTTGAAGTCGGATTGACATGTGGTTTTTTCCAACTTATAGTTTACAGTTTGTACATGAGTTTAGACTATAACTTTGTCATTTTTGGTTTAACATTCAATGATTTACAGTCCTGCGAAGTCGGGATATCAAAACTGGAAATTTTCAACTTTTCAGCTATTTGTTTTTGTACTGTGTATTATGTGAAAATGTTAACACATGCATATCTCATTCGTTTAAAGTCGAATTGACATGCGGTTTTTTTCCAGAGTGTATTTTAGAGTTTGTTCATGATTTTAGACTATAATTTTGTTAATTTTGGTT